TTTCACGCCTTTTTAACTGGAAATCCCACAGCCTAGAAACCAAACACCATATCGATCGTTTTTTTTATGAACCAAAGTGCAAAGCAGTGGAAATCCTTAGGAGGCAAAAATCCGCTGATCGAAACTGCACAAAACTCACGATCACACCGGCTATGCGCTGTTATCTGTTGACAGTTTGTACCACCATTTTTGACTGGCGGCATTTATATGCTTTTCTGCACAGAAAGTATTAGAAAAGTCAGCTAAGGCGCGTTAACGCGATTACAGTGATTGGATGTCATGGATGGGTAATTTTTGCTCGGATGTTGGGATTTCTGTATTCGATAATACGCAGAGAAAAAAAAAAGCAGTGACTGATAATGGAATGCTTGGCGCAGCTGCTGCTGGCACTGTGTAAATGCAGGTTTTTCAGTGGTACACCCCCACCCACGGAATGTGTGAATGAATGATTGCATTCGGAGCCTGCCAATGCCACAGAGTTAATACTGATTAGAAAATAACTTGAGAGGCTTAATTGCTTATTTTTATGCCCCTATTAAACGGCATGCACATCTTACGTTCAAGCAACGTAAGATGAAATGCACGTGAACACAGTTAAAGAGCGCGGCAGTAAGAAGAAACTGGAATACGAGTGCTGCATCACTTAAACAAGTGATAAATGAGAATTTCTGTTAGTGGTCGCCTAAAAAAATAAAGTTTTTTAGGAAACCAAAGCACCAAAAAGCAGCCGGGAGACGAAGAAAATGTGCATTATTGTCTCCTCATATTTTTTACATTTCAACGCATCCAGTCAAGTTTGGCAGAAATCCGCAGCACTGGTTGGTTTTTTTAAATATATTCTCCATTACTTTAATTTATGGGAATTCTTCTAGTGTTTGGACAGTTGATTTGCCACTAGTGGTGAATTGCCCCTTTTCTTCTTTCCTTTAGCTTGGCAGTGGAATGAGTCAAGTAGTGATACATTCCATTTAACAAAGACAAAAACACTTTGCATCTGCATTTCCCAATAAACTGAGACTTTTCAAATTCGTTACAGATACTTCTGCTTTCATATTTTTTGAAATTTGTTGTGAAATGAAGAGAAAAGCAAGAGATTGAGAGCGGAAAGTTGTGAAGCCTAGGAAGGACGTAGCCCGTCTTGGCACTGTTCCATGACATAGTTCTTTCTGCCAAGAGACTGGTAAGCTGTGAACGAGCACAGTTTGCGACATGGATTTCTGATGTCTAATTAACATTACACTTATTTCACTGTTATTTGCAGGTTATACACCACCTGTGCTCACAGTGCCCGATACTGCGTCGCTGTGCAGCAGAACAGTTGTTAGGATTTGTGGCTGCTCACTCGGAAAATAGCGACGAAAGAAGCGTGAATTTCGAGGAGATTTCAGAGTTGCTCGTGGAAACGAAGTGGAATGTGGCGAGAAATAAAGAGTACTTTGCAACAGTCAGTCACAGGATTGGCGAACTGTTGGGCGCCTGTTATGGAGTCACAATACCACCTGAGTAAACAGCGCATGAAAATTCGGCCTGCCTAAGTTGAAATTGCATGTATTGCTTGACAAAATAACAAAGATGGTAGGAGAAAAAGCTAACTTCAATGGAAAAAAGTAGGCATGGCATCCCTTACCTGTAAATACTGAATTGAGCCGCGATCATCATGACTGTCATTGCATTTGTTTCTGGGATTTCCAGTTGACTGGAATGAACAGAGGTGTTTTCTGGCTTTATTTTCTCATGTTGCGTTATAATGAGTTCAATGAAATGTTGCAAATGAGCATATTGAGCCACGCAACATACAGGCTTTAAGTTGTTCTCTCCAGCTCATTTGGCGAAATCCCAATGTTTGTTTAAAATAGCATGGATAACCGTTCACTTCTTTTTATCCATCTGTTGTCTCTCATTCGTGTTAGTTGATCAGTCCTGCTGTCCATTCTTAAAAACATCATTTTCACCATTCTAAATTGCCAGTAATTCGTTGCAGATCTTTCCTACCATGCGTTTT